CCATAGAGACCTTTCGGTCTGTGTCCTGGGCAAACTCCCTGCCCTGGGGAGCGACGCGGAGCTGGCCAGCCCGTGTGTCCCCCGCCATGCCACTGGAAGCAGGTGTCTCAGGGAAGCCTGGGGCTGGGCTGGCAATGCCAGTCCCAACACATGCCCCCTCCCAGCGCTGCCCTGGGGGAGCGACATGGAGCTGGAGCAGAGAGAGCCTGGAGCAGGGGCCTGGTACAAGGCCAGAACCAAAGTCAGCAGAAGTGATGCTCTGAGCAAAAGTCTGGCCCTGTGGGACACTGAGACAGAAAGGGTTAAGCAACTTGCAGGCTAAATGACCCAAATTCTGCCTTTAAAGCCAGGGCCGGCTCCAGGCACCAGCCGAGCAAGCTGGTGCTTGGGGCGGCAGCTTGTAGGAGGCGGCATTACGCCCAATCCTAGGGCGGCACGGCCGCTTTTTGTTGTTGTTGTTGTTCCGCTCCGGACGCCCTGTAGGGGGCAGCGGTGTGGAGGACGGGAGCGCCCTGCAGCAATCCCGGCAGGGCAGCCCGCGTCCTTCCCTCCCAGCCGACCGGAGCAGTGTGGAGCCCTCCCGGCAGGGGGCATGGTGGGAGGGGCCGCGCGGCAGCGCCCCGTTGAAGCCCTGGCCGCCCCCCTTCTCTCTCTTCCCCCGCTCCTTCTGTCTGCCCCCGCTAGCCGGGGCACATCTGCAGGGCAGGGAGTCGCGCTCCGGCTTTGCCGCTGGGTTTTTTTTTTGCTTTGCTGTTCTGGCCACGGCGGGTTTTTTTTTTTTTTTGCTTGGGGCGGCCAGAAAGCCAGAGTTTAAAGCCACACTAGAAAAGGAGCCGGGAGCTGTGTTTCTGGCTTCTGGGTAAGCAGCATGGTACCGGAGCAGCTGTTTTGTTGCTGGTTTTGTGAATCGAAGTTTCAGAACTAACCAGCAGATTGGGGGATTGTCGGCCCCACTCTGCAGTTTGCCCTGATGGAGCAATCTCAGTGTGTGTCCCCCCCCCGGCACCAACAGTCACATCCTGTCACAAAGCAGAGGGTTGTCTGCAAGTTCACCGTCTGGTGCACGAACTCGGCACCGATATTGCCGGCATTGCCAAAACACAGTGACTGTGTAACCACATTCCAGCACAAGATCCCCCTGCCTAGCGCATGATAAGATGGTTTGACTGAAGCATCAGAAGTAAAGTACAAAGCCAGGTGGGAATAAGGGATGTTTTGTCTGAAGCAGCAGGAGAAAGGCACAAGGGGGGTAACAAGCATGTTGTGAAACACACAAGCTGGGACGTAGGTTGTTTATCCCGGATTGTTTGTCTCAGTCTGTAACTGTCGGGGTCCATTGTCAGAGGCAGACTTGTGGCAGTGTCTGTGTGGCATCTCTGGGCGCTGGCACTGGACTTCATTGGCGATAAACCCGGCCGAGCGCCTTGGCCACTGATCCGACTCTGGGGGCTGTCCGGGCACTGTGATGGAGGTCTGCCGGGACAGCGACCCGCCCAGAGCCGGGACAGCACACGGAGCCGACGAACGCCAACCCCATGTCCCCGCCCCAGACTGCTGGAACTGGGGTGCCTCAGGGAAGCCTGGGGCTGGGCTGGCAATGCCAGTCACAGCACATGGCCCCTCACAGCGCTGCCCACGCAGGGAGCTTGGGGCAGTGGGAGGGTCCCTCGAAGTAGCAGCTGCACCCCCTAGAGGCCAGAGGAGAGCATGGCTGCCTGCCCCCAGCGGAAGCTCAAGCCATAGGGGACGGGGGCAAATTCAAGAACACTTTAGCCCAATTACCAGAGTCATTCCCGGGGCCACTTCCCAGGCTCTGCGGGGCACTAGCAGCTCAGATGCTGCGTGCTGGGGCCAGTGAGGGTCCCCTCCGCTCTCCCCAGCGCATCTCTGCAGCACAAGGAGTTTGCTCCGTGGGTCTGTTTCTAACCCCGGGGATTTATTCCCTGTCCAAGCGCCGGGCACAGGGGTGAGCCCGGCCCCATGCTCTGCGGGAGCAGGTGAGGGTCATGTCTCATCACAGTCTCACTGACGGCATCGGGCCACTGCCAAAGCCAGCAACAGCCGCGGAGCAGCTTCAGGCTGGAATGAGGATTTGTGTGTATGAGGGGTGGGGGTCTCAGCAGGTGGGGGCCAGGGGAGAGCTCACCCTGGCAGGTGTTCTCACTCGCGTGCGTGAACTTGGCTTTCCAAAAGCTGGGCTCGTAGCCATCGCTGCAGGTGCAGTAGTAACTCCCAGGCACGTTGGTGCAGTGTGTGTTGGG